AGTTAACTATAACCGAATAAAAGGAGCCGGCCAAGAGGCCACCTTAACATCAAAAAAAAAAAAAAAAAAAAAAAAAATTCCTCGAGAAATTTTACTATATTTCTCTTAACATCCAACTTTAGTTTAGACGCTAACCCTAACATAAACGAACTTAGACAATTTTATCGATTATCACGTGATCGGAAAAATTTTGTTGGCGATACTGGGGAAGATAATAAACGACCGTAAGGTCAAGTGACAAAAATCCCATGTAACACCGGGTCTCTTACTTTTTACCTTATTTCATACCCAAGTAACAGGCCCGGGTCTACTATATTGGGGATGGTCTATATGGCGAAATACAATACTAAAATTCGTGTATATAAAGTCCCACGCGATTAATGACAAGTTTTATTTTGACCTTATACAATCACCACATATAAAATTTCAAGAAAGTATAGAATTCAACTATTGTATACGATACAGGACAAAGATGTTAGTCATTTATTATTGAGCCTTTGACCTTTGACCCATCGTTATTGACCCATTAAAAAACATTGCTTCCTGTAATATTGCACATTAACTTTTCAGATCAAAATTTAAATGCGAAATAATTAATATTAGATTGTCTTGGTGTTTGTTCCTGCGGATTCATAAAAATAAATTAGCCAATCAAATGAATATGATCATGTGCTGGATCAATGCAAATCTGACCAATTAGACAATTTTCTTCCTATGAGATCTAACTACATAACTACGCGAAGATAAATTAGAAAAAACATGACAGAAAGAAAGGTGTTAGTGCTCGATAATGGTGCTAGCACCATTAAAGCAGGTTATGCTATCGTCTCACAACAGCCGAGGTAGTTTAAGTTTAACCCTTAAGCTTCTAGTCCTAGGATTTTCATCCGTGTTCTTCCATGAATTGACAGTTATTATTTTTTTTGTAGAATTGTTCCTAACTGTAGAGTAACACGCGGCAAAGGGGATAAAAAAACTTATATAGGTGATCAAATTAGTTCTTGCACTGATTTTTCTGGATTATATTATAGATTGCCCTTTGAAAAAGTTTTGTATCATTTTGTAATATTGTAATTTTGGAGGAATAAAACTACTAGAGCAAAAATAACAATTTATAATTTACCTGTATTCCGTGTTGTATAAATGAATGTTTTCTTAATAGGGGTTTCTTACGAATTGGGAAGTTGAAAAGGGAGTTTGGGATAGAATATTTTCAAAAGATATACTTGATGTACGTCTTATGTATATTTTTGATTAGTCAATTTTTTTAATTCAATTAATAAAATTGTAAAATTATTTTACTCATAGTGCGATCCGCAAAAAACCAGCCTTCTTATTACGGAACCATGTTTTAATTTGCCGAATATTCAAAGAACATATGATGAAATGATTTTCGAAGTATATGAATTTCAATCATATTGCCGAACAATCGGTAATATTTTAACATCTATCATTTTATTAGAATGACCTTTGGTATATTATTCCATGTTTTAATTGATTTTCATACAGCTCCATGGTTGTGCATCCAAAATGATACGTCAAGTCTTTATCCAAATAGGCCACAAAACCCCGCTGAACCTCCGGATTGTGTTTTAGTAGTTGACTCCGGCTATTCTTTTACTCATATTGTCCCCTTTGTCATGGGTCGGCCAATTCTTCCAGCTATTCGAAGGTCTGCTAATAATCAATCATAACATTACTTTATATATTATTAATAAAAAATTTGTTTCATTATAGAATCAATATTGGTGGAAAACTACTGACCAACCATCTTAAAGAAATTGTGTCATTTCGGTATGTTGCATTATATTCCTGTTTTCTAATTTATTTATTCTCACTTTCTGGATTAAATTTAGATATTGGGATATGATGGATCAAACTTATGTTATGAATGAAGTTAAAGAAACGTGCTGTTATGTTTCCCAGAATTTTTTTGCGGATCTCGAAACATGTAGGTAGGAACATTATTTCTAAATTAAAATCATGAATCTGTGCGTAAAGATCTAATTTTTGAAATATCGCAGAAAAAATACACGAGATAATCCGATTCTTCAAGAATATGTGCTTCCTGATTTTTCAAGGAATACCAAAGGATACATTAGGGTATGGCGTTGTTGCATAGTAAACTTTAGCATTATAAAAACGATTTAATCTCGGTTTCTAATTTAAAGGAAAAAAAACGTGGTGTAGAGTCATATGATCAATCGGACGAACAAGTTTTATACATGAATAATGAACGTTTCACTGTACCAGAAATATTATTTAACCCGTCTGACATCGGTACGATTATTTTCACCTGTGTTATGATCTAAAGAATTATCATGTCTTATTTTTATTCTTTTATAGGCATGAACCAGGCGGGAATTCCTGAAGTAATAGTGGAGGCAATTAATGCCACTCATCCTGGTATCATTTGTTTTATTTTGATTGTTTTGATTTCATCGGGTAGACGGAGGGATGCTGTTGCTTGCTACAAATAAGCCTATTTGAGGAAATCAAAAAATCGTTTCTTATTAGTAAAAAGGATTATTTGGTGGTAACTGACGACAGTAATTTGGGTCTTATATTCATCAATTTGAGTTTAGACATGTTTCCTTTTCCTGTAAATGATGTAGATTTGCATGGTTTGTTTTATGGAAATATCGTATTAGTAGGTGGAAACAGTTTATTCGCCGGATACAAGGAACGAATGTAAGTCGATTAAACTTCAATTTGGACGCATATGTTTATTATTTTAATATAAATATACATACATATCTATTTTTTTTATCAGTGAAAAAGATTTACGTGTGCTTGCACCATCGGAATTTGAGGTTAAAGTTGGAATGCCAGAAGAGTATAATAAAATTATCATCATTTTTATCATTTGATTATAATAACGATGGTCATATTTACTTATTATTTTATTTATTTATAGCCCTATCACATACGCATGGCATGGTGGCAGAAAATTCGCTTCCACGCCAGAGTTTAATGAAAGATTAGTTACACGTTCTGAATACTTGGAATATGGAAGCAATATTTGTCTTAGAAAATTTGGATTAGGTGGTGACGAAATTGATGAGATGTCTGAATGATTTCGTATATAAAAAAAATATATATATACTATGATTTCTAGATAATAAAATATATCTATACTTAATAGTTCAAGCCCATTTTGATGTATTTAGCTTAAACGAGGTCTATCATACAGATGAGGATTGATAAAAAAAAAAAAGACAAATTTAAATTAAAATAAATTAAAAATATATCTGCAATTACCAAATTAGTTGTAGAGCTAAGGGTGTACTTTCTAAATTTTTATGTCGAATTCTATTCGTGGCTGCAAATTCTTTAATAATACGGTAATTTCTTTGGTGCCTTGCTTGAACAATTACAGTTAATAAGTCACAATACTTAACATTGTCTTACCGATCTTATTTAGTAGTACGTAGTACTTTTCCTTATAACAAGAATTGGAAAAGTACGCGTAGAAGTGATTTCTGATTTTGCATCAGCCAATCAAACAAACCGGGTCAACCGGGTTACTCGGGTTATTAAAATGACCCGGTAATAATATTGTAAACGGATATTACAGCTATTATCATTATTCCTGGCACCTGAAGAATTTTCAGATGACCGAAATATCCTCTGTTTCATTCGGTAAATTACCTAACTTCTCGGAAACCATATCGCTGTCTCCGGACCTTCAGTCCGAAGACAGTGATGTAATTTCCGGTGTTACGATCCGGGGAGAGCTTTAATAATCTTGAGCCAATTTAGCTTCGATCATGAACAGTATAGTGATTGAGGTCGAATAGTTTTAAATCATTAAATTAACACACATTATCATAGTTTGTAAGTTGGCAAATAGAACAATAGAACAAAAGCTCAATTTTTTGTCTTTATATAAAAAATATTTTTTT